TGGATGTGCATGGGGAAGGTTGACTTTGATTGACTGACCAAGCTGTTCAATAAGGTGTTGAAAGCAAAACTAATGCCAAATGCATGGAGGAAAAGTACTGTTGTACCTATTTATAAGAACAAATGAATATATAAAGTTGCGAACTATCGAGGGATCAAACTTATGAGGCACACTATGAAGCTGTGGAAGAGAATAATTGAGCAACAATTAAGGTATGAAACGAGTGTATCAGAAAACCAATTCGGTTTTATGCCATAGAGGTCAACAATTGAGGTTATTTTCCTACATAGGCAACTGATTGAGAAGTTTAGGGTGAATGAAAAAGACCTCCACATGGTTTTTACTGATTAGATAAAGCTTATGATAGAGTACCTCGAGATTTAATTTGGTGAGTGTTGGAAAAGAAAAGAGTATCTAGATGCTATATCGACTTGGTGAGAGATATGTACAAGGGAGCACTAGCTACTGTGTGAACAACTAGTGGAGAGACAAATGAGTTTTCAATGACAATAGGTTTACATTAGGGGTCAGTGTTGAGCCCAACCTCTTTGTCTTAGTTATGGACACCTTAACTAGGCACCTACAATACGTTCTCAATCTCACTATATAGAAAAGATTTTAGAGAAATTTGATTATTTTTTGCTGTAAATATGCTTGTAGTCCTTATGATTCTAATATGCAGCTTATAGCTAATAAAGGGTAGTAGCACATCCCAGTTAGAATAATATAAAATCATTGGCAGTTTGATGTGTGCTATGAATTGCACCAGATCTGATATATTGCATATGCTGTAGGAAAGTTAAGTAGGTACATCAGTAATCCTAGTCAAGATTGTTGGAATGCAGTATATAGAGTACTGAGTTATCTAAAGCATACTGTAGACTATGGACTATGTTACATGGTGTACCTAGCTGCAATGGAAGGATACAACATTGCTAATTGGAATCTTAGTGACATCCCTGATAATATGAAATTATTGCGATAATCAAGAGTTTCCTGATAATACTGTGCTAATTAATCTTCCCGATGATATCATGTTTGATTTAAATTGCCAACTTGCCCAAAAACTGCATTGACCAATAAATGATTAATAATTGATTGTTAGTTGCTAGATAAAGAGGATTGCATTGAAATATTTTATATGGTACGCATGAGGTTGATCATGTTAAAAAAACAATTTCTTGTTTTTATGAACATAAAAAATGGAAGTCCAACCGTCCAAGAACATGGTATTTTTTCATGGTATTATCTAATTATTATTTAATAAAAATATTCATAGTAAATGTATTTTTTTATATTTTGAATTCCTGATAAATTACCTATAAATTTCAGATAAAAAGGGCTCACTTGATAATATCCCTATAAAAATCCTTGCTGAAAATATCCCAATAAGGATAACTGTCACTAAGATTGGAATAAAGATTCTGATGAATCTATGTCCACGAGTGGATGGATTTTTGCTCTTGGAGGAGCACTGGTCTCATGGAGATCAAAGAAACAGACGGGCATAACTCATTCTATCATGGTTAGAGTTCCTTGCATTGTGGTGCTAGTGGGAAAGTAGCGTGGCTAAGCAACTTCGGAGATAAGCTTGTGCCTGCGATCACTGTGTATTGTGATGACCAAGCAGCCTTATTTGTTGATGGAAGCAAGATGTATAATCGGAAGTCTAGGGAGCATAAGCTATTGTTAGTGGATGATAACATTTACGTGGAATATCTCAAATCAAAGGAAAAAAAAAAGGGCAGATCCACCGACTAATGGCCTTGCAAGGGAAGTGATACTGCATACATTGAGAGAAATAAGGCTGAAACCAATTGTAAAATACCAATCGGGAACCCAACCTTGCTAAATGGAAATCCTAGATTACGAGGTTCAAATTGGTAATAACAAGTCATTTTCACCTATCTTGTAAAGTGAAAGTTTGAGTTTTTCATAAACTATTAATGAGTCTATAATCTAATTGCACTGGAGTGGATAAAGTTGTTAAGAACACTCTTGATAGACTCTCTATATAAGTGTGGTAAGTCAAGGCTGCTTCCTATGAGATTTGTGTTCATCTCTAGGTTACTTGTTGAATACACAAGGCTTGACAAAAAGTGCTTGTTTTAAAAAATACAAGGAGTTGAAAAGGATCCATGTGCTATGAAAGGGGTTTATAAACAAAGATTATTAGTTCAAAACTTTGATTACAAATTTTCTGATAGATATTGACCATAACGCTAACTAAAGGTTCAGTTCCAAATGAACCTTTGGCAACGCATAAACTTTTCCTATATGCATAATGTTTGTTGAAACTTATTTTGATATAAGTAGGGATTTTTGGAGTTTTTTCTGTGCAGTTGGATATTAATCACTCTCAACCTAGATACAGCGCAATCTGACCCTTGTAAACTCCTGGTTACGTTAAAAAGGCTCACCTCTTAGCATTTTGATAGTATTCTTGTTTTGGGGTTGATAATTCCTTGTTTGTGGGAGCATTATCTATATTCCTTTTGAGAGCGTTATCTCTATTTTCAAGCATGTGTTTCCCTTTCAAGTTTGATTTGGTTGTAGGAGAGGAGGTGTAACAATCTATGATGCATGACAATTTTTTATTTTTTTAAAAGAAACTATTACGCATGCATACTTATACATGCTTAGAGTGCCGGTGTTGAACTGTGTTAATACTGATACTGAAACCAGATTTTGTTACAATACTTTTTAAGTTTAAAGACATAATTATAAAAAACAGAATGTGAATAAACTATAATGGATTGTATACAATGAGACCATATTTACCTTTGATACAAGGTGGTCACAATTCCTTACAACCATTTGATGTGAAATTTGATAGCTTGGATGTGTCACAAAGTTCGAGAAAATTTCTTTTGAACTTTGAGCTTGGTCAATGGAATAATTGCAGCCACCCGATTTGACATCCAATGGTCAAGATTATTGTGACCACCTTGTATCAAAGGTAAATGGTCTCATTCTATACTTTCCCAAAATATAATAATAGGGAAAGTATAGAATGAGACCATTTACCTTTGATGCAAGGTGGTCACAATTAATCTTGACCAATGGTTTAAAAAACGGATCGGTGCCCCGGATCGGTCTCCCCAAAAACCCATCCAGATCGGTGAATTGGCGATCCGGATCGGGAATCGGCCGAATCGGTCCAATTAAGCTTTAAAAAAAATCCAAAAATTTTATTAAAATTCATTATAAATATTGTTTTTTAGGAATCCAATAAGAAATGAGGGTACTACATTATTAATTTTCATTTTTTTCATCAATTTGTGAATATTGAGATGTTCTTTCCCTGTATGAATTTATGTTGGTTCCTGTATGAATTTATGTTAATCATTAAATTTGCATTGCATAAAAGAAAAATCATAGAATCATCATGAATAAAATATATAATCATACATGGACTACAATAAAGAAGGGATTAAATCGATGAAAAAATGACCACTAAAATCTCGAATTGTTGTATTATCTTTTATTTTTTTTGTTCTTTTATTTTTTTGATGACATTATTTTCTTCCTCTTATTTTTTTTGGAAGATAAATTGTTTTTTTGACAAGAAATGCTTGTTGTATTATCTTTTATTTTTCTTTTTTCTTTTAGTTTTTTGATGACATTAGTTTCTTCATTTTATTTTTTTTGGAAGATAAAAATAAAACGCCTTTTTTTCTTTTTTTTTTATGAGATTGTTTTCTTCCTCTTTATTTTTTTTTTGATGATATTATTTTCTTCCTTTATATTATTTTTTATGACATTATTTAAGACAAAAGTAAAACACAAAAGTAAAACACATTATTTTTTATGACATTATTTAAAACAAAAGAAAAAACGTTACAACAGCGGCCCAAAGCTCAAACTTGAGACCTCCCATTGAAAATCCAGTGTGATAACCAACTCCCCACGCCGCCACGTTATGTAACTTTAACTATAATAAATCACTATATTGAATTAAGATCTCAACGTTGGGCATTGAGAATTGTCCACATCAAAGAGAGGTGGGACGAACAATGCTTATATAAAGAAGCAATTGCTCCCCTCACGAAGAATTGCTTGAGGCGAGAACCACGTTCAAAACATGAACTCACTGTGTGAGATTTCTTCGCACGCGCGGGGTTTTGTGATGTCAGCCACAGCCGATCCGTGACGTCATACGGGGTGGTTCTCACCGGTTTATGACGTCATATGGGCGGTTCACTGTTCAGAACCAGCGATTCTACTCTAGAATCTGGCGATTCCCTATTTTACACAGAAATCGACATGGGGTTACCGATTCCCGTGTCGACTCGGGCGATTCCGTTGCGACTCACCGATTTTTAAACCACTGATCTTGACCATTGGATGTCAAATCTGGTGGCCTCATTTATTCCATTGAACAAGCTCAAAGTTCAAAAGAAATCTTCTCGAACTTTGTGACACACCTAAGCTATCAGATTTCACATCAGATGGTTGTAAGTAATTGTGACCTCCCTATACAAAAGGTAAACGGTCTCATTTTATACAATCCCATAATAATATGCTTTATCATGTTTTATATATGTGTAAATATGTTGGATATACAAATTATACTACATATTTATTGATTTATTAGTTAGGATACTCATATCCATATCCATATCCTAAATTTCAAGAATTTCCTGTATCCCTATTCATATCTGGGCATGTTAGGCAGTAAAACAACATCACAACTTACAATTTAGGATTACTGAAGTTCAAATGCTGCTATGCTGTACTTGTTGCCACCGTAGTTTGAAAAGGGTATTTTAATATTGGCTTTTCTTCTACATAAATGATGAATTTCAACTTAGATTTCAATTAGTCTTTTATGTAAATGAATTTCATTTGGTGAGGTTTATCATATGTTCCTTATCTTCTTTTGTGTGGTATAAAAATCAGCCTTGGCTGCTTCTCTTGAGATTTTTCATGCACTTTTAATCTGACTTGGTTATTGGAAGTAATGATAATCTTTTTTTCGTTGTGTATTTTTTTTGTAGGTTTTGGATTATGTACAGGGCTAAGCAAGATGGAGCTGCCCTTTTGGTAAATTTTCATGTCCCTTATGTTTTTGATGGAAACCTTTTATCCGACTTCCAGTTGGATTTACATTCCAATCTTTGTCAGGGTTTGCGCCACCCATGGGAGGGCCATGAAGATCATACTGATGGTGGGCATGAACATTAGGTAAATCTTAAACTCCAGATGATGCATGGTTTTTTATCTCTATTCTATGTGGCACTGGTGCCTATTTTTTCTTTAGTTATCAGAAAAGCACTATGAAATCAAAGAAGCTATCTCTGGAAAATTTTTGAGACAAGTTATTCACAAGAAATTTGCTAATTGTTCCTTGCACTAGTCTCAAGAAGTCCATGATCTCAATGTTGTGATGCCCAATTCTTGTGAAAGGGCTATTGCTTTATTTTCAGCTCCTTGGGCGGGCCATTTATTATTAGTGCCAAAACAGACCTGACATTTGTGCAAATATAGGTTCAGCATTCCTGCCCAATATTCCTCTAGGTGTCAAATGATTTGCAAGTGAATTTGTTTCCAATTTGATTTTGATTTTGGCAAGATTTAGAGGCTCACGAGTATGGCTCATCGGATGGTATTATTTCCTGCCTAAATTTTTTAAGCTTCGCGATCGAGCATAGATGGCCACACTGCTCTGGACTCCTTCTGTATGGGTGGTCATCCCTTGGGGATACCTTGTCCTTAGTTTCAGTATATCTGCAATGGATTTGCAAGCAAATAATTGTCTCCTCATGCTTCTGAATATACTTTATTTCTTTTAGTGATTAAAAATTTTTGGAGAGGAATTGGCATCATGCATCTTGGAGTAAACATCTCAAAGCTGAAGGTTTTGGTCTGTTAATTTTGCTTTTTGATAGGTAGGTTTGGTGAAAGGTGAATTTAGTGGGTTTTGGGTGTATATGTTTCTTAACTCATTTCCAATTATTCTAAATGGTAATCTAACAAGCTCTTTAAGAGCTGGAGGACATGAGGTGAGGGAACTTACGTATCTTTATCTAATCCCGAAAGGGAGATTCTTTAGGGTGGATATAGGGCTTCTATTCCCTGGGATGTATATTAAAAAAAGTTCAACTTCAATATGCAGATGATACCGTGATTAATGTCTGGCATGAATGGGGAATGCATTGGAGCTAAGTTTGGGGATAAAATTGATGCTAGGACGTTTCAAAAAGTGGTTTCGGGGCAGAAAGCATGACCACAGATGATGGTAGATTGGATGAGGATTTAAAACAGAGAGAAAAGAGAGAGAAATAGCTCAAAATCTGGTAGAATATAAGGGATCTCAACTGTGATTCAATGACAATGGGTTGAAGCTAACAAAGCCTAGCTTCAGTGGCCTGTCTAAGGGTCCAAAGCCAGCCAAAATAGGAACTAAGTTCCTGATTTCTGGATTTTTATAGCAAAATACATTGATTCCATCAGGGTAGAGTCTCCCACTTTTAATAGACTTGGCTTGACTTCTAAATCAAAGCCCTCTTAACTTTCCTAGGAACGACAATGGATTCTACCCCCTCCCAAACCATGCAAAATACCTTTTCCAAGCCATGCACAATTAAAGTTTCTAGGAATATTGATGGATACTAACCCCCATGCACAATATTACCTCCCAAGAAAAATTTTAAATTCAAATTCAAATTCCAATCTTCCCCTCCTAATCTTTCCCCTACTCGAAAGTTAAATGGAACCCCTGGCTTTTCTGTAAATTCTAGAGAAGTCCATTACAGAAAAAATATCCAAAATACCCCTCAATAAACTATAGAGAAAATGCAGCGCACAAAATGTCAACAAAATTTTCTTTTAGTTCTTCATCAGATGGAATAGCTGCCTTAATGGTGGTGGGGTTGAGATCCTTACTTCAACTTACCTCCGATGGCCTCTTTTGAATGGCGCTTTTCGAGAAAGGGCTTTTGAGAATTGTTAGTATTATGGGGGAAATTTTTTTTTCAGTTTCAAATGGAATGATCTCCTGGTGGGCATCCATTGTAGACAAATTCCCTTGTGAGGGGCAATGTTTTAAAATTCGGGATGCGGCCGAAAGCGGTGGGGGGGCCGATGTGGCGATGCAGTCCGGATGCGGGTGCATCTCGGTGATGCGGTCAATAAATATAAAGAAATTCTAAAAAATCTAAAATAATAGTTTAATGCATAGAAAAAAATATGGAGGAAATATATGTGATAATAAGTATTTACTTTATTCATTAACTCCAAAAGTACTAGCTGTCGGAAATTCTGTATCCACTATCCCTTGATAGAAACTAAAAATTAGAAACTTAAAACTAGCTTCATAAAACATTCAACAACAATCAACAACTATAAGCACAAATCTGCAACCACAAACTTTAAAGTTACAAAATGCTACAAACTCGAAGTCCATGAAGATTAAAGAGTTTTAAAGTGAAGCTTAAGAAGAGTCAATACAATAATCATCAACCAAGCATCTACAAATGCACAAATCGAAGAACTTCAACAAATAAAATTTCCGCCCAATTTTTTTTTTTTGATTCAATCGATCCAATAAAAGCCATGGATGTGGCTGAAATATGTTGTTTGGAGGTTTAATAGCCCCCAATTCCTTTTTGTCCATTTTTCAAGGTCAAAATGACCTTTCCCCCTTGCCAGAGGGGTACAGTTTAGAAGAAAAATGGCGGAAGCTTATGCGGCTCTGTTGCAGAGAGATGCGGCTTATATGTGGGTGCATCTCTCCAAACCGCATATGCGGGGATTTTCGATGCGCTGCCCAGCGCATAGCGCCTTATTGGGCGATGTGGCCGCATTTTAAAACATTGGTGAGGTATAAGTCAATGTCGAGGTTCTGAAGGCTATGTGCAATTTGATTATGGGCAGGTCAAAGGTGGGTGTGGAACATGGGACATGGTGTTGCAATTGTCAGCAGCGGAAAAGAATCATGAAGGCGCCATATATGATTAAGTTGAAACATGAGGGTTCTTGCTGTGAGCAGGAGAAGGTTTGATTGGATAGTTTCTGTGGGAGGTTTAATTCTTGGAAATCATGACTTCAGTAAGCGTGCTGGATTGCATGGTGGACTTTTGATCTTCAGGTTGCTTGTTGAACATTGGAACTATGAAGAAATCTACGAGACAGAGAGATAGAAGAGGTGGGAATCAGAAAGGTTCATGGGAGGGGTGATTGACCATACGAGCTGGTGTAAGATTTGGATACTACTTGCATGTTATCAGTTAAAGTTCTTGTATGTAGTGGACTTTGTGGAGGCCCATCCTGCTTTACCAATCCAACGAGTTTGGAGGAAGGCCGTCATGGCTTTTCACTTTCTTATCCTTTTTTTTGGTTGTTTTTTGACAAGGTTACATAGGAATGGAACTTGAGACGTTGTGCTAAGAAAACCCAGCCGCTACCGTCTTGACCCAAGCCCGACTCCTAACTTTCTTATCCCATGTTTACAAGGCAAAATGGCTCTGGTCGACCATTTATCACCATGTGGCATATTTTTGGTTTAAATGTGTATTTTATGCAAGGAGAGGAAGAACCAATGAACCATTTATTGGTTCATTGATAGTTTTAGTTCGTGGACATGCACCAGGGTGATAATGTTCTGTTGAAATTCATTAGGTTATGCTTGCCTCTCTTCCTGGTTTCTTGCTGGGCTGGGTGGGTACCATCTGGAATATGGAGAAATATCTATATTCTGGTGGTTGATTCTTCATGCTAAATCCTACTGCATTTGAAAGGATAGGAACTGTAGAGTTAAAGGGACAATCATAGACCCTAGTTCCTAGTAGAGACAATCATAGACCCAAGAAAAAATTGATTGCATGTTATGTTAGGATATTATGTTATGGAAGATTCCTAAAATGAATGCTATTAAGTATTAACATAAAAGACCTACATTTTGTTAAAAAAAAAAAACATAAACAACCCAAAGTATCTTAGAAATGCAATCCTATGTTGAATATGAAGTCTTGGATGTTTTTAGTATGTGGTAATCTGTGTACTTGGATGGAGCTGGAAAGGGAAACCTGGATCCTGTGGGTTTTGTAGGTGCAATGAGGAATGCGGGAGCAATTCTGAAGTGTTAATTTAGGCATCAAGAAATCATAGATTCTTCTTTAGCAGAAGCAACTGGGACTCCGTAATGGGAAAAAGAGTATAGAATATAAGTAAGGTGGTTACACAACTAGGGATTCTTGTGGGCAACTTCCTTGATGTTTATTAGATGGTTTAGGGGGAGAAATCTGCAATTACCTGGAGGCTGGGGAGCATATTCGAGGAAATCGATGACATGTTGAATTTCTCTATTGTAAAATATGAACATAGGAAGGCAAACAAAGTGGCTGATACTTTGGCTTATGCGGGGATTATTAGGAAGAATATGAAGATTATTAGGAACAACGTGCGGCTCTGTGCTCTGTCTTTGTACCTTAGGTACCATTGTAACTACTTTCTGCTTTCTACACGTTCCATTAGTTTCCAAAAAAAAACTTTGAACTGTGTATAACACTTGGGAACTCTTCATTAGTAGTTTACATACCTTTTCACCATGTTAAGACCTAATTAGAAAAAATTATTTATGTGATTTGCCTGTGCTATTCTTCTTATTTTGTATTTTGGAGTTTTTGGTTTTTACGTTTTATTCATTTTATGGTTTTATCTGACATAGTCTTTGTGCCTCCCCATTCATTAGATTGTGGCAATCTAGGTATAAATATTGTGTTGTCTGTTTGTCGTTACTGGATCATCTGGCCATGTTGTTTTTCAATCTTTGTGAGAGTTTTCAAAGTGCAAGTATCAACAGTATCCTCCGTCAAATATTTCTGGATATTCATTCTATTGTTTCCTAACCGGGATTGTACTCTTTAAGGCATGTTTTGGATCTTTCGTTCCTCACTTCTTCGTAATCCATAATTTGTTTTCTTGGCCACTTCCCTTGACTTTTAATGCGAAGTTGTAGGCCAGGTAGGGGGTGAACTGAACTAAATGTATAACCTTCTCTGTAGAATTGCCCTTTTATTTGTGTTGGGTATCGGTTCCATGTCGTTTGTTTCAATATTGTTAGCAATGAACCTAAAAAGAATCATGGATTTTGGGTCCGTCCAAGTTCTACCTTTCTTGGATTGAACTTTATCTAGACTTCATCTAAATGAAGGAGGTGTGAGTTTAAGGAGTTGCTATATGAGAGTCATGGAGCCAGAAGTAACTTTAGAGGATACCTTTCACTCTCAAGTTGTTTGGAGGCTTTTCCAATGGATCAGCTGACGCTTATGGATTATATAGTGGCATCTAGTATGAGAGGGGGAATGATTTCATGCAATGTTTGTATAGTAATATAATGCTACAATCTTCAAAAACCATGTTAGGGCCATCTGTTTGATCCAAATTTTGAAATATACACTCTTTTCATTGTAATGATCAATCACAAAAAAGAAAAATTTGAAATCGGAACTTAGAATGTATTTTTTAAACCCAATTAACGTAGGCCGTCCATTTTGATAAGATGCTTAGATCTAGGCCTTAGAGGGATTTATTCTTTTCCAATATTTTTAGATGGTTTTATTAGCATTAGATGAACAATGTTAAAAAGGAAAATAATAATTTCAAGTTTGTAAAGGCTAAGATCTTGAAATTCACCAAATGAATGGCCTCGATTCGTTGTTGGAGAGGACTTATTTTAACCATATCTAGGGTTCAAATTGAAATTTTTTTTTTGGGGGATTGATTATTGAGAAGAAGAGAATGTGTGCAAAATTTTGGGTCATACAAATACCATAAATATAGTTTTCTAGAGGTATGGTTGCATGATTTTATGATACAGCTGTTGCATGAGATTACTGCCCGTATGAGAGAGATTAGTCTTACGTGTAGATATCTGTGTTGTAGTTATCCTATGTTGAGTTTGTGGGGGAATGCTGAAATATACATTCTCATCATTCTTTTATTGTATTGTTTGATATTTACACTTTCATTATACATTTGAAAATGCCGATACGCCATCTACTTGTTGATATAGGAGGTTTGTGTTCTTTTACCAGATGCAACATGGCATCAAAATTTACTTTCTGAAGGACATGGTGACTCTTCATACATTGACCTAATCTTTCATCAAAAGATGATTGTGATGTTGAAGAATATATATCTGTTATCCTTGCTGCTTGCTTGCTCTGATATTTTTGCATGCATGCATTATGCGTGTGACAGGTGGAATTTGTTCTTATATGTGTCCATCTTGCAGGCTTCTTACTAAAGAATTTCGAAGAGCTGGGAACTGTTATTGATTTGTGCATGACTATGCATTTCACCAAACCTTAAATCTGCTCTAGTCCTAATAATCTTTTGCTATGATATGAGGTTATACTTTTGTTGGTTTCTCTAGCTAGAGCAATACTCTTCTTCTCTAGTTAGAGCAATAGTTTTCCTCGGTCAGCAGGATTTGCTGCTGTGTTATAATTTGCTGAAGTGCAGCAAGATTGTTTTTTGTCAGAGAATATCTGGAAAATTACTCAATCCATGTGTTTTATTATAATGTGATCAGCTGGTGAACTTGAAGATCTTGAGCCTGACATCTCCCTCTCTCCCCCCTCCCTCCACCGCCCAC